AAAGACTCAATTAATCCCCTACCTTAATTCCCCCCCATAACCAGGCCCATAAGAGGGAACTTGTCTGATTTCCCATATATATCTGAAGAACTCAGCAGAGACTCGTGAAAACTTAATATTGAAATAAATGTCACTTTAAGGTGTCACTGGACTTCTGTTTTGTTTTGCCACAATGGACTAATACAGCTCCCCCTTTGCAATCATGGCTGCCACTGCAATTTAAATTGGTGTCCTGCCTGCAGAGCTTCACACACAGGATGCCTGACTTCCTCTTGCCAAATCCCCCCCCCACCTTGCAGATCCTTTCCCAGTCAGCCCTCAGCTATGAACTCCAGTCTGCAGTGAGCCGTTCTGCTCAACCTGCTAATGGCAAAAGCCTGCAAGACCAGCTCCCCCCAGTGCCCACTTCTATCCAGGAAGCAGAAACCTAAAAAGCAAGTCTTTGCCCATGGGGCTCTGGAAGCCAGTCTCGAAAGAAGTGCTCTGTGAAGGTCAGCAGGCAAAGGGAGGCTGAACAGCCAAGGATGGGCTAGTTCTGCTCCTCCACCTGCTCTGGGCTCAAACAAAGGTAAAAGTTAGCAGGTGCTGAAATGTGGTCAGCAAGTAAAATCCAGGGAGGTTCAGACCTTGCTTCACCCGAGGACACAGAAGACGAATTGCTCGTGAAGAGTCACCTCCAGCACCCACCAACTATGCTGAGCCTTACCTCGTGTGCACTTTCGGGGTTTGCCACCTGGTCATCGATGTCCGGCACCACCTGCAGAGGCCCGCTCAGCAAGGACATGGACTGCCTGCAAGACAAAAACACATGTGGACCAGAGGCACATGAAGCTGTTGCCCCAGAGCTGCTCCCAAGTGCCTCTGCCTGGCCACAGTGACTGGCAGAACGGCATCTGTCACCAGCCTTATCCACAGCAGGAGGAGGGACTCGCTCGCCAGGGCAAGGCATCGCGTCACCCTAACTATGGCACAGTTTACCTCTGCTCCCTGTCCCTCCCCGGACATAAACGGGGGCTCATGGAAAACAACAATGCCTCAGGCAACCAGAGACTCTCTAATTTTAATTTGTCTGACATGAAGTTGAACAAGGTGCAAGGGAAGGTAGCTTATTTTGACCTTTTAGATCTAAAGGGTCAAATAAACTACTCTCCCTTGCACCCAGTTCCCCCTTTTTTGCTTCAGTCTGCCCCTGCACACCACCTTGCCCTGTATCACTCCACTCACCATGAGGCAATGATGGAACTGAGTGAGTCGAGCACCTCGGAGGCTGTCAGGCGCTGCTGAGGATCCAGGACCAGGAGCTTCCGGATCAAGCAGACAGTGTTTTCCGACACCCGCCCATCTCTGCTGAAGGAAAAGTTTAAGTCAGGGGAGGAAGAGATGTCACAGACAGCAGAGCTACTGAGACCCCTGAAGCTAGAGATGACTAGTTTCTGTCAGGTTTCACCTGGAATCAACGGAGTCACTTTCCATAGAAAAGGTTACTTTATTGAAGCCATGGATCACTGAACAGGTCTCTGATTGGAATAACATAATGCGGAAGCACAAGCAACATAAAGGGAAATCAAAATCACTTTTAACCAATGATCATTATTCCCGGCCCTGACATCCAGAGCATCTGCTTACTAGTGCTACAGAAGTACTCTCTCTTCCCCCCGAATACAGAGACTTAAAAGCCGCTTTTGGCGAGGAGGAAGCAGATGAGTTACCCCCCCATAGACATTCAGACTGCAAAATCCCGCCCTAACATCCAGGGCATTTTTGCGCGCTCATTTCATGAGAAAGCAACGGCCCCTGCTATCAGCAGCTAGCAGTTCCCATAGACTCTACTGATTAAAGCAAAGGCTAGAATCTCTCTATCTCCCACCTGTTGTCCTTGAGAAGAAAGCGTTTCCCCAACAAGCATAGTCATTACATCTTCTACGCCTGCGCAAGCAATTCTACACTGTTAGCAAGCAGCTACACAGAGGAACAGTTTGCACCATACATGGGGGGGTATTGGACATAGGGGACTCATATATACACTGAAAGACATTCATTGGCAGCTTGCTGACAGTTTCTCACATCAGTTCAAGAAGAGGGCCCAGTTCCAAGCGTTAACCCACTGCAGTGTACAAAAGACTTGGTATTGCTTCCACTCACTCTGGGATGGTGTATTCAGCAGCCTTGATCTTGCGGAAGAGCTCCTGAGGGATACTGTCATAGAAGGGGAACTGCCCGTACAGCATGGTGAAAAGGACCACGCCCAGGGCCCACATGTCACTGGGCTTCCCGCGATAGGGCCGACCTGCGGAAAAACAGAAGTCACCCCTGCCACTCTTCTGCCTGTTTGCTACTCAGTTTCACATGCCCTTGGCAGTAGCTGGAAGAAAGCCTCCCCTTAAAAATAAGGAGCAAGAACTGTGCTCTTCACTGAAAGGAGGAGGCAGGGAGGAAACGGAGGAGAAGGAAGATATTTGCTGGTTGCATAGCATCTCTGCTGAGGACTGTAGGTAGGTAGGTAGGTAACGTTTTATTGAATACTAGCCTGATACCCGTGCTTCACTATGGTATTTAAGTTCTGTAAATCCAGTTATAATACTGATGATGTGAAATTTAAATGTGACATTTGTTGTAAGAATTCTAGTGGAGAAGATTGTAGTGTAAGAAATGAAGTGAGACATACGTACTTCCCCCCCCACACACACACTGAAGGACCTCTCTGTAGACCACATTGGTGGTTCTGCCCTCAGGTGCTAGGATCACCAGGCTGCTTGATGAGCTCACTCTGGAGCAGGCCACATAGAACTGTCCATTTAAGAAGCAGTTGTCTGTTGAGTCAACTCCTGCTACCTTCCACGAAAGTGATGGCCTCTCTACTTGTGTTCCTGGATTGTTTTGCTCATATGGAGACTGTGTTGTTCTGAGCACCTCAGGGTGATCTTGCTGGTACTTGGCCTGTGCAGCTCAGTGCACTGCAGGAGTACTATGTGCAAATGTCTTTGCCGCACTCATAAGTTGCCTCCTCCTTCTAGTGTATCTGATTCGACGTTTGCCAGGAGCTTTCTTGGGGGCAGTAAGAGGTGAGAGGGAGTGTGATGTGGTGGACATTTCTTCAGGTTCATGAGGGAGGCACGCATTGAAATGGCTCCTAGAAATGTCCTTTACTATCTCCCCATAAACATTCATACATGGCCCTGCTCCTACCCACCAAAGAAGGTACATAGCCTACCACTGAGAACATCAGGACTAATATAGGCTGGGCTCCCACGCTGGTCCTTCAGGAGATCGTCCTCGCTTACCAGGTGCTTGCCAAGGCAGAAGTTTGTAATGGTGATTCGGTGGGTCCTGAAGAGGATAAGGAGCAAGTTAACTGAGGGGAAGAAGGAAGAGACCCCCCACACACACATCTGGCCACCTGGCAAAGGAAAGGTGAAGAAAGGAAAGTTGGGGTTGAGCAGTGGAGTGCCAAGTCTGCCAATGACACTGTTATTCAGGATGAAAATGAAACTGGATTGTGAAGAGCTACATGAGCATCTCTTCAAATTGGGCAAGTGAGATACAATGTGGCAAATGAAGCTCACCTTAGGCAAACATAAAGTGATACACACTGGAACAAAAAAAAACCCCAACTTGAAATATAGGCAGATGGAACCTGAACTTGCGGAAACCCAAGAGGAAAAGAGACCGTGGGACTGTAGTAGGTAGCCAGTTGAAAGGGCCAGCTCAGTGTGCTGCAGCACTGAAAAAGCCAGTAAAACAGTAAATCACCGTGTACAAATAAACAATATAAGTTGATTTTTATCTGCAATGTTTTAGAATTCAATTATAAACAAAATTACAAACATAACACTACAGTATTAGTTTCAGACAAACGACGGAGTTCTACTACACTATCAGTTTGCGAGTCCTTCTTCAGGTTTGTCATTCTGTACTTATATCTTCATTAGAATGAAGTGCTGCAATTTGAGGAAAGCTTAGCCAATTATTATATACTGTAGACCCTGTCACATTAGAGCTCCCCAGTCACCAGAATAAGTGCGGTAGCATACATCAAAACATTGTATAAGAATTAGCATTTTGAAATATGGCTTGCAGCACTTCATTCTAATGAAGATATAAGTACAGAATGACAAACCTGAAGAAGGACTCGCAAACTGATAGTGTAGTAGAACTCCGTCGTTTGTCTGAAACTAATACTGTAGTATTCTATATGTACTGCTAAGCTTTGTATTGCATATTATAGTGTTATGGTTGTAATTTTGTTTATAATTGAATTCTAAAACATTGCAGATAAAAATCAACTTATATTGTTTATTTGTACACGGTGATTTACTGTTTTACTGGCTACATTACACCGTGAGCAGCACTGAAAAAGGCAGTCTCCATGCTGGGGATAATCATTTGGGACTGACAATAGAACTGCCAATATTACAATGCCCCTGGATAGATCTATGGTGTTGCCTCATTTTGAATACTTTTAGTCACCAAATCTCAAAAAGAACAATGAAGAGCTGGAAGAAGTACAGAAGAGGGCAACCAAGGTGATTAAGGGACTGGAGCACCTTCCCTATGAAAAGAGGCTACAGACCGAGACTATTAAATTTAGAAAAAAGACAACCAAGGGGGGACATGATAGAGGTTTATAAAATTATGCATGGGGCAAAGAGGATAGAGAACTTTTTCTCCCTCTGCCCAAAGACTAGAACTCAGAGGCAGGCAATGAAGCTGATGGGCAGTACATTCATGGACCAAAGGAAGTATTTCTTTACTCAATGAGTGGTTAAAATGGGGAATTCACTGCCAGAGGATGTAGTGACAGCCATGAGCATGGATGGCTTTCAAAGGGGAATAGAGAAAATCATGGAGGATAGGTCTATCAGCACAAAACGTCTCAGCAGATGGGTGACTGGCACACCATCTGTCTCTATATCTGCCTTTGGTGCTTCCCTTAGTTTCCTCCCTAAAATCTTCCACCAGGCCTTGTTTTGTCCAAAAGCAGCAGAGCCAAACTTAGACACAGACCAAAAGGTGAATGCCAAAACTTTGACACAGCAGCCAGAAGCAGAGAACTATCACCTGCATGAGCTCAGATCAGGGGAGAGAGGAGGGGATGGTCACAGACTCCTCTTCCCCAACCTGGAAGCATCCAAGGGTGAAGAAATGGACTTCCAAAATGAGCTCACCTTTTGTTCAGCACCATGTTGCCCAGCTTCAAGTCTCTGTGCACAATGTTCTTCTGGAAAGGCAAGAGAACACTGAACTATTAGAGCAACAAGGCTTCTTGTCAGGTGCTGGCTGGCAACGTTCAGCTGGTGCCCCAGTCTTTCTTCCCAAGTTACATGCTACAGGAACTGGAATGAAATGTAGATGCCCCTCCCATCTCACTCATTTGGCACAACAAGATGGTGCCAGTTTGTGTCCCAAGAACCTCCCAGCTGCTGCAGAGGAATGTAACTATTGGCTGCTGCCCAATACTGAGCCAGGCAGCATTCTCTGGAGTTCAGCACCCCCTCCTGTAGCTACCCAGGAACCCAGTGGCACTTTGTACACTCCAAACCTGGATGCCACCTCCCTGCCATGCTGATGGTTCTCCCCCACCCCAGCGGAGACAAACACCTTATGCAAAGCTTCCACCACCCGCACGACGTCATAGAAGATGACCACGGTCTCCCGCTCGCTGAGGCGTTTCTCCTTGATGACGTAGTGCTGGAGGTTGATGAGGTCAGCTGTCTTGTCGCTGAAGTCGTGAGCACAGAGGCAGTCCAGCACCAGACAGATACGCTTCTTCATCTTGCGGACCATCCTGTTGGACTCCAGGTCTTCCACCAGCTCGCAGGCTCGGTCCTGCAAAGCCCCAGGGAGGAAGACGATGACTTAGGGAGGCGGGATAGCCTTCCTACTGACCCCTGGCTGGCCACTTCAGCCCGGTGCTTGTCTGGCTACCCAGGCCCAACACCCCAGCCCTGGACCATGCCTGACAAATGATAACATGTCCAACTCTTGTAGCTATGGAACAAACAGAACTTTATGAGTGGACTGTAGCTTCTTGCAGATGAGATAAAAAGTGAGTGGAATTTCTCTCACCCACCATGCCTGGGACTTTCCAGATGTCAAGCCTGAGTGCTTAACAGAAGAGCTATGCAAGTTTTGCTTGGTCCAGCCCTTGGCCAATTGTAGTCACGTGGGTACAAACCACAAACAGTTGTGGGGACAGGGGTGCTGGCCTCACTGCAAGCAACCACTGAAGATACAGGAAGGCGTGAAGGATGGCTGGTGTGGCCTGTGTGCCTTTTGAGGAACAGGTAGCTGTTTTAAAAACCCATTGCCACCTGGCCCCATACAGAGCCATCGCTGTAAGACACACACGCAGGCAGAACTTGGGCTGGCAGCTCCTGCCAAGTTCCCCTTCAACTGCTCAACAGGACTTCCCTTACCTGGAAAAGGCCATGGTGGTGGACTACCCCATCCTGGTTGTGCAGGAGGGAGAGAAGGGAGTACTCCGTATGGAGCAGCATCTTGCCTTGACGTTCCTCCTGGGTTTCTGTGCCTTTGTCATTCCTGTCCTCCAAGGTGAGGATCTTTTGGAAAGGGGGCAAAGAAAAAAAAATAAGCTGCAATCCTTCACAAGATAGCCACAAGCCCAAAGTGCAAGCCTCAAGCCTGGAAAATTCCAGCAGGAAACAAAACACTCCAGTACCTTGATTATATGAAAGTCAGTTTGTTGCTTCTAGTGGTGTCCAGCACACAGAAAACTGGGGTGGGCACACTTACACCTCCCACTGTTTGGAGCACAGATGGGATCGGAGGGGCCCCAACAGGGCACCTGTCCTGTACGCATAAGACCCCCTGCCACACCTTTTTCAAAGAGGCCAGCCACATTGCCTAAAGGCTACTGAAAGTCACCTGGTGGCAGCAGGCCTTTCAAGACAGGTGTGGTGTGTGGTTTGTGCTTGACAGATGAACTGAGTTATGCTTTGAAATCTCCAACAGACTGGTGTATACATATTTTGCTAGGAACTGTTGTACATATTTGTGATTTTAAACTGATGTTTTTATTGTTGTTTTATATTGTCAGCCTCTGCCTGGAACATACCAAGCCATGTTTTGGCAGGATGATAAACCTTAATAAAACAAAGGGATCCTGGGGAGTGAGTGCTGAGAAGCCAACAGGGCCACTGCCAGCCATCAGTTGGGCTGATGGTAGAAGATTCACTGGCCTCAACAGAGAATGTTTGTCCAAGGAAGGGAACTAACGGGGAAGGCACCTCCCACTGGAGATTCTGACAGCTCCAGGGGAAGGCAGCAAGACCTTGGCAGAGTCACACAGAACTCAGTCACTGCCTTCAGCCACCCCATTTCTATCTCCACACTTTCTGCTTGTTTGAAGAACAGACACAGCCTCCGACTGCAGCCACTTCACAGCTCCTCTCCAGAGCGTTCACAGCCCCATATTCTGCTCACCTTGAGCTGGTAAAAGTCATCCGTCCCATCTTTTCTTGCCAAACACTGGACGATGCTAGGCACTGGGGAGTTGCCCAAGCGAGGCCCTAGAAACACAAAAGCAGAACTGCTTTGTTGAGGACTGAATGGGCTGTAATAGCTGTGTAATAGTGTGGACGTTATGGGAGTTTGAATAATGTTACAGCTGTTCGTTTGGTCATCTACCCTGATCTCCTTTAGTTCCCCCTTTTGCCTGCCCAGCAAAGATGACATGTCTTTCTGTAATCATGGGGAGCTCAACCACTGGTCGGCTAAAGTGTTCTCTCCCCGCCTCCTTTCCCTGTGCTGGAATCTGCTACTGTCCAGAGACACTGAAGCAACAGACACCTACACCAGAGCACGGCAGGAGTACCACACACAGTGTGAAGCTGCTTCTTTCTGAATGTTTGTCCAAAGTCCTTCCTGGTGGCTGCCAGCAAACTCTGGTCCCAGCCGCCATGCTCCCTTAGGATGGCAAGAATGACATGGTGGCCAAGATCGGGGACCAGCTGCAGGCGCAGTGAGCCAAACACAACAATGCAAAGGAAGTGGGAAAAGCAGGGGCTTCGGCCATCTATCAAGGAAAGTGGCCTTATAGCCAGGCCTGGACGTTTGCTGCAATTCCATTGGAAGCACAGACGGTAAAACTGTGCCCTGCAGAGCAGAAGCAGAATAAGTTATGCAATGTGAAACCAGGCAAATACAATTCACCTGCAGAATTCTACTTTCGGAAAAAAGCATGCAGAGGTTATAGGTTACACCCTGCACCCCTCCCCCCCAGTCAGGGACTTTTGTATCATTAATTGCTTTAATTGCATTCATTAAGTTTCATTAATTGTATTTTTGTGCCTGTCACTGATGCCTTTAGTAATTAGTACAGAAGCTGAGAGTAGGAGGGGGTATAATTTCTGTCCCCCCCCCCAACACACAAACCAGACGTTCCCAGCTGCACTGCACCATGGATCACAGACTCCCTTTTGCTCACCAAGAATGAAAGGCCCAGCCCGCTTGGCATTGTTGCTGGAAATCCCAGTGCAGAGAGCCTTGGCCGATGTTTCCCCACCTCCTCTGTCAGACGCCCGCCGCTTCATCCTGAGTTCTGGGAACAGAACAGAGCAGACATGCTGTGTGAGGGAGCTGCCAGCCATGATGGTCTGCCACCGGACAGCACCCCCCCCACATCCCTCTTGTCAGCTTAAGTGATGATGGGCACTTCCTGTCCCTCATTAATGGCTTGGGGGGGGCACAGACCTCCCATCTTTCCAGGAAGGGCCATCCAGATGTGCTCAAGCAAAGCACTGTGTGACCACCGAACTACTCACAGGGTAGAAAGACCTGAGAAACTAAGACATTCAGCACGAGCTAGCTGGGTGTGAACTTGTGTGAACTCATCTGTTTGTAAGCCATGCCGGCATCTAAAGGTCTGCCTTGTTTTGAATTAAGAGGTGAGCTTCAGTCCTTCTGTTCTTCACCTCTTGCCCTCAAAGCTGGGTTTTTTTTTGGGGGGGGGGGTTCTTCTTTTCCCTGCCTCCCTCCAACATGACACCTCATGGAAAGCAGAGGGAAGGAAAACATCCACTCTGCAGGGGCTGATCTTCAGATGCCAGGCAGCAAGCTGAGCATGGACGGAACCAAGCCACCTGTTCTCTCTCCACCTGCCATAATTAGATGAACTATCAGCTCTCCATTAGGTCTCAGTGTGCCTTTATTCACAGAGCACCATGCTCATCAAGCACCTCTGGTCACGGGGTGTAATGCACACCAGAATAACCCTTCCGTCACTGGTACATTTATGTCCTAGTACCTCTACTAGCAAAACTGTCTCTCCAGTGTGCGGTAGTGGTTAAGTGCTGGACTAGGATCTGAAAGACCCAGGTTCGAATCCCCACTGCCATGGAAGCCTGCTGAGTGATGGTGGAAATGGCCAGTCATGCAATCAGCCTGACCCACATCTCAGGGTTGTTGTAAGGATAATAGGGAGGAGAGAAGGAGGTAAGCCACTTTGGGTCCCCATTGGGGAGAAAGTCAAGGTATAAATGAAATAAATGGCCCAAGAACAATGTCACATGCCAAGGGCAAGTTCTGACATTGCTTCCTGCCCCCTGCTCACACATGAGGAGTCTCTGCATGTCAGCAGAAGACTTTCAGCTGCACAGCTCCACAGTCTGGTAGGGACAAGACAGCCACAGCTGGGGCAATGACAGCCAAAACACAAATGCTCACATTCCCATTATGTTCTTACACAGACAGGGCAGTTGTCCAACAACAGAGCAGGACATAAAGGTGTGAACTGTCCCCAGTGTAGGAAGAGTCCAACACATCAATGGTGCTGGAACAGTCCCGGGGACTTGCCTAGGACATCTGGGGAGGACTGGAGGCAGGAAAAGAACAGCTACAGCAGTCGGGTCAGCTGGAGCTTCGGGATGAGGAGTTAGTCATCATAGGGGCCCTGAAGTCTCCTTGCTGCTTTCAGGAAAGAACAGACTGGACAGGCGAGAGCCACAGTCACCAACTCAGTAAGGAAGCTTGGAAAGACCACTCAAGTACAATACTGTTTGTTTATCACAAGGCCCAGCCTTTTGCCCCATGCTCATCATTTCCTGTCGGTTAACCACAGTACAATGTCCTCTCTCCACCCTGGGCCAGACTCTCTCCTCTTCAGATGAGAAACTCTGCCACTCCCCCAGCCAGTCAGGGCCCTACAAGCTGCTTCAAAGGCAACCATTGCTGTCGTTAGCAGAGATGCAAAGTATCTGAACATTTTGAAGTCATGGGGAAAAACCTTTTTCCACAAGAAGAAAAATTGGAAATTTGGAGAAAACTTGTATACATAAACATACGTATGTGAGCATGCATGCATGCATGCAAAAGTTAATTTCCTACATGCCTAAAAATCTTTCCTGATGTAACATAAAATGCATCATTTTTAACCTAGTTAGCAAATAGAACTGTACTACTTGGCATATTTTTGGAAGTATAAGCAAAACTGCAAGTAGACCCAATACTTGAGAAAGAGCTACAAACTGCTGCACCCTATGCTACCAAAGCACATGAACAAAGTTTGAGTCCACTGGCACCTTTAAGAACAACAACATTTTATTCAAAGTGTAAGCTTACAGTTTGAATAAAACTTTGTTGGTCTTAAAGGTGCCACTGGACTCAGACTTTGTTCTGCTGCTTCAGACCAACACGGCTACCCACCTGAATTTTACCAAAGCTCATGTTATCTTAAATTTTTATAATCTAAGAAGAAGGAAAAATAAAAGCTGAAGGGAGCAAACGAATTCTGTTGCAAACAAAATAAAACATATTTGTACAGAAACTGAATTTGAGATTTGCTTTTAAGGATTTTCATGCTATGGGTTTCCAAAGAGAATCAAAATCCCAGGTTTTGTCACTGACCTGTAGTGGAGCTTCACCAACTCAGCCTAAAACGGCTGCACTGAGAACACATTCAGCACCCTACACATGTACTGCAGTGGTACATTTGTCATGTTGCAGCAGCTGCTCTGAATGGACTTTTAAAGAGAGAGGAACTTTATAATAGCAACTGCATGTCCTATGCAGAGGCCTCCAGCGAACACAATTGCCTGCCAAAGATTGAAACACCAGGCAGAACATAACATGGCGAAACAGGAGAAGTTCCCACGCCACTGCCACATACACAAGTGATGAATCACTCCTGCTCAGAGACTCCTGGCGGGCACAATTCGTCATCAAACTTGAAACGTCAGCTCTTGCACTGCTGCTGCAGAAGGGAGGAGCAGAGATGCCCAAGTGGCAAGGGGCCAAGGGAATCTCCCAGAAGCAATTTGTACAGGCTCTCACAGAGAAATCCCGCCAGTCTCTCCTTGGGCTTCTGGACTAGAACACTGACCGAGAATAAGAGGCCAACAGCGGAGGTTTTTACCAAATGGTGGGAGCTACTGACACCTGACTCAGCTTTAAAACCGCTGTCTTAATGGCAAGCACAACCAGACAGTTGTGGTTGGGGAGAGAAATAACCACAGGCTAGGAAACCCCTAGGGGGCCTGTAGAATAGAATTCTACAGTGTTGGGACAGAGGACTACTTCCCTCTCGGCTACATGTCTATACGTCAAGCCCCCCCCAGTATTTTACCCTAGTAACTCTACAAAGGATGTCAGGCCTATCATTGTCCCTCAATCAAAGGAGTACAGGGGTGGCCAAACTTGTTTAACGTAAGAGCCACATAGAAGAAACATCAGATGTCTGAGAACCACAAGACATGAACAAATATTACACATGCATTTTTCCTGGAAAATATGCGAATTTGCTTTTATTAACTTTAACATTAAATAAGACTGCCAGAAATAAAAACAAAAGGGATTAAAAAACAACAACAGATATTGATAATGATATTTAAAGAGACAAATGCTTTCTTCAAGCTGGCCGGGGGGGGGGGGTGCTTTGAGAATGCATTTAAAGTTAAAGCTGCTTTCTTTGTCTGCTCGCCCACACCTCAAGTCTACCCAGGGAAGGGGAGCACTGACTAGGGAAGGGAAGACCAATCCTTCACTTCACTTCCCCAGCCACCCTGCCAGGAGCCACACAATACGTGTGAAAGAGCTGCATGTGGCTCCCGAGCCCTAGTTTGGCCACCCCGGTCTAGTGGTCCGACACGAACCACTACCCCACACTGTCTCTTTAGCTGCCTGTGAACTGATGGGTCCCTGTGGTTTGTCTTGTTCCCTGAGAATGTTTGTCATGGCCTCTACTTCTCCTGAAGTTGAAGCAACATTGGCATTGCCTAACAAGTGTTCTAGAAGCCGCAATGACTAAACTGAGGCTATTGTACTTTGGTCACATCATAAGAAGACAAGACTCGCTGTAAAAGACATAATGCTAGGAAAAGCTGAAGGCAGCAGGAAAAGAGGAGGACCCCACATAGTTCTCTGTGCAGCAACCTTTGGTGCACAAAACACATGGCCCATATTGTGAGCCTGTTGCTAGGACAGAGGCTTGATTATGAACCAGATGTTCTGAGCTTTGACCCTTTGCTTGGAATTCCACCATTTCCACAAAGCAAATATAAAATACTTGCTTCATTATACTGTGCACTGTCCACTGACTGGTTAGTAAAACTCGTTACTGAAGCACAGTAAACTAGCACCCTGTGAAAAAGAAACCTTTTCTGCAAGTTTTATGTAACAAATCCATGAGCAAAGACCCGCCAAAAGTTCCATGCAACACAATCTGTGAGCAAAGACTCACAGGCGAACCATTCAGGATCTCAGCCAGCTTGCAAAGCTCTCTAGGGGAAACAACACAACCTTTAAAACATGGCAGCAACCAGGAAATTTAAACCAGAGGCTTCAGTTTAAGGGAAATCTAGACCAATTTCACCCCAAGCCTCAACTATCCCTACCAAAACTGCACCCAGAAATGGAGGAGAGAAAAATGGACCATAACCCCGCAAAACCCAGGAATACCAACAAGTCCTTGAGAGAAAAACCTGCTGGGCAGCCTTTCCCATTCCAAGTCCACTGATGAAACCAAAGCAGAGCAGAAGTTGCTCTAAGGCAGTGACACAATCTGGCACAGGGATGACACACCGATGATTGCAAGCACTGAGAGAACAACGGCCAGATTCTGCAACTCCCATTGGAGCTTGACAGAAGGATTTAAGGACCTCCCAACAGGCAATCTGAGCCAAAACTACTCACGCTGGATGGCAGAAGGCCTTCAGGCTTTCAAAGCAGAGGCCAGCCTCCCACCCTAGTCTTCAGAAGATGCCAGGGAAGGAGCCTGGGACCTTCCACATGAATGCTGGATCAGAGGACCAACACCTCCTCTGCAAAAGTAAACTGGACAGACTAGTGAGACTTCCTGGGGTCACTGATCACTACCAAACACCAATAAGCGGATCAGGGCGCCCTTTTCCTTGTAGGTACAGAGCAGAGAATATGCAAAGAATTCAAGTGGCACACCTACCTACCCAAAAGAACAGCAGGACAACAGAGCTTTTAGATTTGCAGCATGAGAACAAATGTTTCCTATGTCCAAACAGCAGCTACAGTTGGGGGGGCTTATTTGCTAAGCTAGCTCAAGAGGGGTTTGGCTCTTGGAAGTTAGTGCAG